ATGTTTCAGGTTTGATCTCCCATTGGCAGTAGTGATCCTTCATCTTCCTATCTGAAAACAAAAACAACCAATTAAAGCCATCTCCAAGTCACCAGGCTTAATATTTTTCTCCTAATAATCATCACGTCAGCCATAAAACGTCTACTGTTGAACATAGGCCTTTTTTGGATTTGCTATTTTAATTACTAAAGCAATAAATTCATCCCAACTAGTAAATATTTCAAACACAGATGAAACCGCCGTATTAAACTGTCAAACACCAAGTTATTACCATATAACCATATCATCATATCACCTATACACCAAGTGTCTATAATGACGGTACTCAACGAGTTAAGAGACATTTCATGATACCTTGAAACTATTCTGTTCGATGTCATGTCCCGAAAACGATTATTATAGACTTTTTCTTCTTTTTTAAGTGGGAAAAATCATCGAATGATTTCTCCAGCTCTTACTGACTAAAAATCACCCCGTTTGTACTCCAGCACTTCGAGTTGGAGCCCCGGCAACTCGTTAAGTCCTCCACGGCTTTGTGTCGGGCATTAGCTCTAAATTAGGTCCCATGTATGGTGGTCTGATGACTATTTGAGCCGCGACTAATATTTTCGATAGTTCATCTATTTGATGGTAGATGGCAGTTATAATAATATAATAATGTTACTCACATTGCGTCACTGTTCTATTTTCTATGTTTTCATTTAAAATAGTTACTGGAGAAGAGTATTGTTCATTGAACATACATGTTGACTGAATTGACGTAATAAAGGTCTAATTCTAACTTTGGCTTCAGTGCTATATTGCTCGTGCTTTCAGTCGGTTTATACCTGAAAATAATATACTCTTAGAAACGTCTATCAAATAAAGTTTTTTAAAAAGAAACACACTGACAATCCTAACCTCTCTTTAATTACAATCTTAACATAAGCAAAATAACCTAAACAAGAACTAAAAGTAACAAAACTACAAATAACTAAAATTCAGACTAGCGGTCACCAATGTTGTAAAATAGCCCTTGAGAGAACTACCACACCACCGTCTCGTCGGAGCGCCAACGCAAAAAGGTGAACGGCTGCATAGCACTGCTCCGTTCTCGTGTCACTCAAGTCATCCCTTCCAGCTGACGTCATCGCACAAATGTACTAGGCTGAAAAGGATTTTCCTCTAAGAAGGATTTTCCTCTAAGAATACATATAATTTGATTTAACAATTTTAAATGACTCGATTCTCTAGTGGTTGTAAATGATACTGCCGATCAGAGGATCTATGTTAAATACATAGACCGGGTAAAGTACTATTGGGATATTTTTCAGTGCTTCGAATTAAAAAAAGAGTCTGGGATTGTGCCAAATACATGGCAATAGCCTGACTTCCTTTACATAGGGCTTATGACATTACTGGTGAGTGTAGATACATAGTTTATGTACCATTATGTAGGTACACCCTACGCCTTAGTGGGTAAAAAAGAAAAACCGCAAAATTAAAAAGTAGGTAAGTAGATGTATCTGAACACCACGGTGTAACGTGGTGTTCATGTGGTCCACAAATTGTTGTTCTAACTTTAGATATAGAATTATATATTTGTAATCGATTGGCGTAGAAGAAATTCATATAAAATAGCGGAATAAAGATGGTTTTTGGAAAAAGATATTTATACTCACATTGTGACACTCATTTCACATTTCATAATTTTTATTATGAAAATCCTCTCAGAAAAGTATTGTTCGTGTAACGATACTTCGCCCTATACTCATCTAATTAATTGTTTTTAGTATAACCTTATGACTTCGAGACTATTTTATCTCAAAACAAATATAATGTAAAATCCTTTCCTGAGATAATTATTAAATTAATGAATTAAGTTTAACAAGATAATCACGTAACTATTTGGAAAGACAACTTGAGTACTTTCAAGCCACACTGGGGCTATGTCAAATATGTGAGTAAGAGGTTAATATTAAAAATTATTTCGTTACCGAGTATCTTGCAAATACTAATGACAAATTAATTGGATCTAGGACGCTGAAACGGTAATATCGCGGTCGAGTCCGTTGTCGCACCGCCAAACGCAAGTTTTGAATAAGAGTCCTGGTCTGACTTGAAACTAGTAGAGTAATTATGTCGAGCAAATGATTCTTTTTTATTTTTATACCACGACTGTGGCAAAAAAGCACACGGCCCATCAGATGGTAAGCGGTTACCGTGGCCCATGTACGTTTGCAACACTTGGGGCACTATATGCATCTTGCCGACCCTTAAGAAACCAATGCGATTATTATGCAAACATAATTAATATGACAAGATGTTATTTCTAACAGACTCAATGAAGTATATAGATGTAATATAACAATACTTACATTATATCAAATTAGACTTAGAACACGAAATTCTAAATAGAACCGGTCAATATTGTTAATTCAACATACATGTTGACTGCACATTGCACTGGTTTATTGGTAGCGTTGCTCCTATTGGGATATTTTTCAGTGCTTCGAATTAAAAAAAGAGTCTGGGATTGTGCCAAATACATGGCAATAGCCTGACTTCCTTTACATAGGGCTTATGACATTACTGGTGAGTGTAGATACATAGTTTATGTACCATTATGTAGGTACACCCTACGCCTTAGTGGATAAAAAAGAAAAACCGCAAAATTAAAAAGTAGGTAAGTAGATGTATCTGAACACCACGGTGTAACGTGGTGTTCAGATACATCGGCACACGCATGCACACGGCCCATCAGATGGTAAGCGGTTACCGTGGCCTATGTACGTTTGCAACACTTGGGGCACTATATGCATCTTGCCGACCCTTAACTCGTCGAGTACCGGTTTTGTAGACACAATTATAGAACAATAGGTTGCGGTCACCGGTGACCGCTTGGTGTTTGACAGTTTAAGAAGCCAATGCGATTATTATGCAAACATCATTAATATGACAAGATGTTATTTCTAACAGACTCAATGAAGTATATAGAAGTAATATAACAATACTTACATTATATCAAACTAGACTTAGAACACGAAATTCTAAATAGAACCGGTCAATATTGTTAATTCAACATACATGTTGACTGCACATTGCACTGGTTTATTGGTAGCGTTGCTGTTAGGTCTGGTATCATAATTGTTCAGTGCTTTCAGTCATATCTGAAATCATATAACCAGTCTTAATATACTAGGAAATTTTTGTTTATGAAATATTTAATCATGAACTATAAAAAATCAGTTCCCCAAATAATAAAAAAATGCATTATTATCTGATTGACTTAACATAATCATTCATTCTTACTCGCGTTAACTGTTTGAAGAGGAACTCGACTAGTTTCAAGCCATGCTAGAGGGTGATATTCATGAACAGAGAGCATGAGCAGAGTAGCAGCGCTAGTCACGGCGTCGCGGGTCGCGGAATGCTGCTCATGAATCCTCTAGCATGGCTTGAAACTAGTCGCGGTCGAGCCGAAATCATAATAATTAATTGGTATAACTTAATTCTAATAGCATTTTCTTCCAGTTATCCCTTTAGTAGTATAAATGCACGTAATAGGTAATAAGTTCCAATTGTATTTACATAACATCACACCTATTATCCCCGAAGGGGTAGGCAGAGGTGCACATTACGGCACTTAATGCCACTGTACAATGTAACACCCACTTTTCACTGTTTATGTTATGAGTCCCATGTAATAGTTTGTATTTTTTTTTTAAAGAAGGGATATTAAAAATCATAATTAAAGTTTTACTCACATTGAGCCACCTTTTTCATTTAATCTTTGACGTCCTGACGTACAGATTAGTATTGTTATTTAAGCATACATGTTGACTGAAAATGCAAGCACTGATTTATTGGTAGCATTACTTTGTTGTCATCATTTTTCAGTGCTTTTAGTAAGACCTGAAATCAATAACCAGTGTCATTATGCAGGGTGACTTGTAACTCGACATATTCCTCTCTGGAGGATAAAATGGATATTGTGATAGTTTGTAATACAATCCTGGTTGAATTGCTCTCATCCGTCCATAATTGGCCCTGAATCTTATACAATTTATAATAGGACACACATAACATCTAATTAGTCTGTCAGTTAGGTAATGAAAAAATATAAGACACGTATTTTTTTATTTTGTCGTATAATAAAATGATACTTAGATAAAATGAATCTAAGTTTAGGAGTGGGGGCTAAAACGTCATTTCTACGTATAAAATGTACGTAGAAGTGTATTGTCGAAAGTTTGTAATAAATAAAAAATACGTGTCTAATGATTTTAAATAATCTACCAGACGGACATTAAAATAAAAATTAGTCATCTACCCTTTTGAAGCGGTTGAAGAAATAAGACGCACACTCACTTCAAGAGTGACCGTCACAGATAAGGAAGCGTGTGCGAGCATCAGGGCTAATTTTATAGGAAATTAGTTGTATTATTCCGAGAAGAATACGTCGAGTTACAAGTCATCATTGTATACTTGATTTGGTATCTGTTATTAATTTATAAAAAATCACATATCACATATCTTATACAAAGCGTAAGTTTCTTTTTTTGTTTGTTTGTTTGAACGCGCTAATCTCCGTAATTACAAGTCTGATTTGAATAATTCTTTGTGTTGGATACCGTGTTTATCGAGAATGGCTATAGGCTATAAAACATCACGCTACGACCAATAGGAGCTGAGCAGAGCGTGAAACTGCGCGGAAGTAGCTAGTACATAAATATACGTAGTGGGTAGTAAGCTGCAAAATATATAAAGTACTAGCTTCAGCCAGTGGCTCTGTTTGCTTTTATGTAGGGAAAAAGTAGCATACGTGTTATTCCAGACTATAATCTATCCTCGTTCTAAATTTCATCCCGATCCCTTTAGTAGTTTTTGCATGAAGGAACAACAAACAAACAAATTTACACATTCTAAATATTAGTAGGATGAGACTAAAGCTTTAAAATTGAGATCAAAATTTTACTCACATTTAGTCAGCTAATATACATTTAGTTTTTGAAATCTTGAATGATTAGAATTGTTCTTTAAGCATACATGTTGACTACAAATTGCACTGATTATATTGGTAGCGTTGCTTTTAGGTCTGGTATCGTAATTTTTCAGTGCTTTCAGTAACATCTGAAATAAATCATCAGTGTCATTCAGTAAATTTTAGACGGAACATATTATATTATAAATGCAAATTTTTCAATAGAAATTTCCAACATAATACAACATCACGCCTTTTCCTTCTCCAAAGAGGTAGGCAGAGGTGCACATTATCGCACTTAATGCCACTGTTTAAGGTAACACCCACTTTTCGCTCTTTATGTTATGAGTCCCGTGTAATAAGGGGTAAAGCCTATTGTCATATATCGAGTATAATTTCAGGCTCCGTGGTACTTACTAAGATTTTTTAAAAACCAAGTAATACTTCTCGCCTCACCTGGGTGGGAGAAGTCATTGAATGATTTCCCCCTCAAAAAAAAGTAATACTTTGCTCGACATGGGAATCGAACCCGAGACCTTTTTCCTAGTCGCACTTGCGACCAATCGGCCAACGAGGCAGGTAGAAAATTTTGTTTAGAAAAATGTCACTTTTAGACTGCCGGGCAAGGGGTCTCGGGTTCGAATCCCGGGTCGGGAAAAGTATTACTTTAAAAAATTCGTGTCTGGCAATAGGCTCACCCCCTATTACATGGGACTCATAACATAAATAGTGAAAAGTGGGTGTTACATTGTACAGTGGCATAATGTGCACCTCTGCCTATCCCTTCGGGGATAAAAGGCGTGATAAATATTGTTAGATGTAGAGTATACTCACATTGCATAGTTATGTATTTCATGCCGAATTGTTATATGAAATGCTGCAATGTGGCTATTGTTCATGTCGTATTTTTCTGACTGTCGGTAGGGGTGCTTTTGAGCATTTGCTGCCTGGCCTCTTATCTATATAATGCTGGCTCCTAAAGTAATAATATTGTCAGAAATATGTTATAAAACTTAAATAAAGGCATTATAAAACACAAAGTAGGTGCTTGAAATATTATTATGTACATCATGACAATTCTATCAATAGTATCATTACGCATTAGAAAAAATAAAATAAAAACAGATATTTCGAAAAAAAAAAACAAAAAAAATGTGGGTATACTAAAATAGGATGCTTAATTTTATCGATGGAAAAAGGATTCAGAGGCCTTAATCGAAACGAGACTACATTCAGCGGTCTGATTGGTTGATTCATTGGAGCCGGCCAATCAGAGGCCTTAGTACGAGTTTGTTTTACGTTAAAAGTAATCAAAACGAGTACGCGTTCGTCACTGTGATTGGTTGGTTCATTGGCGCCGGCCAATCAGAGTGCCGAATACGAACTCGTTTCGAATACTTTAATCGTAAATTATTTATAATTGTTTAAAAAAGATAAAATAATTTTAAATATTATATTGGTGTTGTAGTAGTTATTATTTATAGGGTAACATGAAATATGCTTTTTTCCAAACATTACTTGTCTTCAATTGAGGGTAAAAAATTTTCACAAAATTTTTAATATTTAAATAGTATAATACACTAATTAAATACATTTCGCCATCGAAAAAATTGAAGAGATTTCCTTATTTCTAAATGTGCACATTAAAAGACGATTGTAATCAAGATAAAAAAATATTTTCATATTTTTTACAGGTAGGTATACCTGCGGATAAGGTATACCTTTAACTGTCAAACACCAAGCGGTCACCGGTGACCGCAACCTATTGTTCTATAATTGTGTCTACAAAACCGGTACTCGACGAGTTAAAATATTTTTTAATATCCATTGAATTCTTTTATACTGTTAATTTTTTTTGAATTTGATGATACTATTTCCCATAATTATAATCACTTTAATCACTTTATATCGAATTACCCACACCATAGAATATATCTAGGCTATGTAAAAAAAATCAACAATCTAGCCATCGATTTTTTCGAAGTTATTACTAGAGAATTATGAGAAAAAACAAAATTATTATGGCGGTACAATATAGTGAGATGTTAATCTAGAAGTAATTAAATTATATAAAAAAAATAACTTACCGATATTACACGAAGCGGGGCTGACCAGAGGCAACAGTGGTGACGAATACATTATTAGGGGGTTGTAATTAAGACTCTTTGTAATGACAATAAATCATAATGACAACTCGGACAATTATGTGTTCTACTTATTTTTTTTTCAATGCAAAAGTGCCTCTTATCTACATACGTTTCACTAATCGTGTAGTCTATTGAGAAACTGGTGCGACGACCTCTTTGTGATCTTGTTTTTATACGTTTCGATAGCTCTCAATTTACCTCCAACTTCTTATATTTTCCTTAAAAGTAAAATGTACAGACGCTTGAGAGAAACTTCCAAAATTTCTTATTGATATTGAAATTTACAGACGTAGTTTTAAGGTTCAAAATGTTATGTACGAATTTAAAAGATTGTGCCATCTTGCGTCTGTACCGTTGCACTTACGGACTAAATATATTTTTAATTTTCATACTCCATTATATGCATACCTACGTATAACCAAAAAGTTTATCGATATTGTAATCCTTATTGGTCGATTTGTTAACATTCAGACCATGTCTTTCACACAAAAACAGCTAAAAAACAAAATGCAAGAAAAACTCGAAATAAAAAAAAAACGGTGTGCCGAGCCCAATACCAAACATCGAATATAATCCTGATTTAGTCTGTTGTGTACAAAACATTCAGTTTCATGTGATTTTACCCGGTCACCGTAATTTATACCCCGCCTAGCCAGGCCTACCCGGTCAAACCCGGCCCGGATTAATTCTGACACGTTTTTTATCCCCATCCAAGAAAACGCGATTTTTGGTCGCAATTTTAGATAAGAGACTATAAAGCACTGTTTAATGTTTGTTTCGTTCTGGTTTACTATATGAGCACGAAATAGTCACATGATAGTATTGTAAAGTAGCGGGTAGTAGACCAATCCTATCTTATACTTACTATTTATAAAGTACTTGCGACCTGCCCTGGCTTCGCACTGGTGCAATATCCATGTACCCATTATACGTAAACCTTCCTTAAGAATCACTATCTGCTATAAAAACCGCATCAAAATTCTTTGCGTAGTTTTAAAGATCTAAGCATACATAGGGACAGACAGACGGCGGATAGCGATTTTGTTTTATACTATGTATTGATGATTATATAAAGTAGTAGTGTTTGTTTTTATTTCAACGTGCTAATCGCTGAAACTACATAATACATACGTAATATCACGCCTTTTATCTGCAAAGGAGTAGGCAGAGCTGCACATTACTCCACTTAATGCCACTGCACAATGTAACACCCACTTTTCACTATTTATGTTTTCAGTCCCATATAATAGGGGATGAGCCTATTGCCATATACTGGGCATAATTCCAGACTCCGTGCTACTACTGAACATTTAAGAAACCCAGTAATATTAAGGGGTCTCGGGAATCGAACTGGAACGAGGCAGTCGCTGAAACTACAGGTTCGAATTAAATAATGTTTATTTTTTGTGTTATCGAGGGAGGCTATAAAAAGACTATAGAATATGATACTACGAAATAGGAGCCGAGTAGCATCAGGCAAATTGTGCGGGAACAACTAGTAAATAACTGTTGCAATGTTGAAATAAAGAACTACTTATTACTTAGACCTATCTAATATTAAATAAAATTAAGTCAAGCTGATGATGTATCAAGCTGATGATGCAACATAATGTATATTGATAACTTACCCACATTTATTACTTGTGGCGCAGCAGTTGATAAATAAATACACGATCATGAAAGCTGTTATTACGACGTATCAGAATAAAAAATACACCATAATGCCAACAATAATGATTATGTAGATATTAATTCTATGAATTTCGTCAATCGTGGTCACACATTCCATTCCTGTTATATATAAGAAAATGATGCAGTGTGTCGTGGTGCCCCAGAGGCATATCGGCTTCATATATTTGCTATGGTTAGAGCATAGATATAAAAATCTTATATCTATGGTTTTTTTTTAAGGGGGGAAAATCATCGAATGATGCTCCCGCCTGGGTAAGGCGGGAGGGTGTGTCAGACTCTTACTGACTAAAAACCACCCCGTTCCTTCTCCTGCACGTCGAGTCGGAGCCCCGGTTACCCGTTAGGTTCTCCGCGACATATCTATGGGTTAGAGATATATATTCTTCTATGTCGTGTCTCGTCGCGTGGGTTGCCAAACGTTTGCAGCCTTAGTGGCTACAGAGCGGTACCAAGACAGGCCACGAAATATAAGTTCCTAAATTGAGGGTTATATTTGTATATTTTTATATCTATTTTTAAATTTCCCAAACTGCAACATTCATGCAACTCTTGATAGATTTTTGATTTTATTGCAAAAAAAAATGATAATGAAAACAAAAATATTTTTAACACCTTTTATTATTGGGTATCTTTACATAACAGATTAGTATTGTTTAAGTAGCATACATGTTGACTATTAAGTAGCGCTGCGCTGCTGCAGCGAATGTTTCAGGTTTGATCTCCCATTGGCAGTAGTGATCCTTCGTCTTCCTATCTGAAAACAAAAACAACCAATAAAAGCCATCTCCAAGTCACCAGGCTTAATATCTTTCTCCTAATAATCATCACGTCAGCCACAAAACGTCTACTGTTGAACATAGGCCTTTTTTGGATTTGCTATTTTAATTACTAAAGCAATAAATTCATCCCAACTAGTAAATATTTCAAACACAGATGAAACCGCCGTATTAAACTGTCAAACACCAAGTTATTACCATATCACCATATCATCATATCACCTATACACCAAGTGTCTATAATGACGGTACTCAACGAGTTAAGAGACATTTCATGATACCTTGAAACTATTCTGTTCGATGTCATGTCCCGAAAACGATTATTATAGACTTTTTCTTCTTTTTTAAGTGGGAAAAATCATCGAATGATTTCTCCAGCTCTTACTGACTAAAAATCACCCCGTTTGTACTCCAGCACTTCGAGTTGGAGCCCCGGCAACTCGTTAAGTCCTCCACGGCTTTGTGTCGGGCATTAGCTCTAAATTAGGTCCCATGTATGGTGGTCTGATGACTATTTGAGCCGCGACTAATATTTTCGATAGTTCATCTATTTGATGGTAGATGGCAGTTATAATAATATAATAATGTTACTCACATTGCGTCACTGTACTATTTTCTATGTTTTCATTTAAAATAGTTACTGGAGAAGAGTATTGTTCATTGAACATACATGTTGACTGAACTGACGTAATAAAGGTCTAATTCTAACTTTGGCTTCAGTGCTATATTGCTCGTGCTTTCAGTCGGTTTATACCTGAAAATAATAACTCTTAGAGACGTCCATCAAATAAAGTTTTTTAAAAAGAAACACACTGACAGTCCTAACCTCTCTTTAATTACAATCTTAACATAAGCAAAATAACCTAAACAAGAACTAAAAGTAACAAAACTACAAATAACTAAAATTCAGACTAGCGGTCACCAATGTTGTAAAATAGCCCTTGAGAGAACTACCACACCACCGTCTCGTCGGAGCGCCAACGCAAAAAGGTGAACGGCTGCATAGCACTGCTCCGTTCTCGTGTCACTCAAGTCATCCCTTCCAGCTGACGTCATCGCACAAATGTACTAGGCTGAAAAGGATTTTCCTCTAAGAAGGATTTTCCTCTAAGAATACATATAATTTGATTTAACAATTTTAAATGACTCGATTCTCTAGTGGTTGTAAATGATACTGCCGATCAGAGGATCTATGTTAAATACATAGACCGGGTAAAGTACTATTGGGATATTTTTCAGTGCTTCGAATTAAAAAAAGAGTCTGGGATTGTGCCAAATACATGGCAATAGCCTGACTTCCTTTACATAGGGCTTATGACATTACTGGTGAGTGTAGATACATAGTTTATGTACCATTATGTAGGTACACCCTACGCCTTAGTGGATAAAAAAGAAAAACCGCAAAATTAAAAAGTAGGTAAGTAGATGTATCTGAACACCACGGTGTAACGTGGTGTTCAGATACATCGGCACACGCATGCACACGGCCCATCAGATGGTAAGCGGTTACCGTGGCCTATGTACGTTTGCAACACTTGGGGCACTATATGCATCTTGCCGACCCTTAACTCGTCGAGTACCGGTTTTGTAGACACAATTATAGAACAATAGGTTGCGGTCACCGGTGACCGCTTGGTGTTTGACAGTTTAAGAAGCCAATGCGATTATTATGCAAACATCATTAATATGACAAGATGTTATTTCTAACAGACTCAATGAAGTATATAGAAGTAATATAACAATACTTACATTATATCAAACTAGACTTAGAACACGAAATTCTAAATAGAACCGGTCAATATTGTTAATTCAACATACATGTTGACTGCACATTGCACTGGTTTATTGGTAGCGTTGCTGTTAGGTCTGGTATCATAATTGTTCAGTGCTTTCAGTCATATCTGAAATCATATAACCAGTCTTAATATACTAGGAAATTTTTGTTTATGAAATATTTAATCATGAACTATAAAAAATCAGTTCCCCAAATAATAAAAAAATGCATTATTATCTGATTGACTTAACATAATCATTCATTCTTACTCGCGTTAACTGTTTGAAGAGGAACTCGACTAGTTTCAAGCCATGCTAGAGGGTGATATTCATGAACAGAGAGCATGAGCAGAGTAGCAGCGCTAGTCACGGCGTCGCGGGTCGCGGAATGCTGCTCATGAATCCTCTAGCATGGCTTGAAACTAGTCGCGGTCGAGCCGAAAACATAATAATTAATTAGTATAACTTAATTCTAATAGCATTTTCTTCCAGTTATCCTTATAGTAGTATAAATGCATATAATAGGTAATAAGTTCCAATTGTATTTACATAACATCACACCTTTTATCCCCGAAGGGGTAGGCAGAGGTGCACATTACGGCACTTAATGCCACTGTACAATGTAACACCCACTTTTCACTGTTTATGTTACGAGTCTCATGTCTCTCTCAATCTCAATAGTTTGTATATTTTTTTTAAAGTGGGGTAATTTAAAATCAGAATTAACGTTTTACTCACATTGAGCCACCTTTTTCATTTAATCTTTGACGTCCTGACGTACAGATTAGTATTGTTATTTAAGCATACATGTTGACTGAAAATTGCAAGCACTGATTTATTGGTAGCATTACTTTGTTGTCATCATTTTTCAGTGCTTTTAGTAAGACCTGAAATCAATAACCAGTGTCATTATGCAGGGTGACTTGTAACTCGACATATTCCTCTCTGGAGGATAAAATGGATATTGTGATAGTTTGTAATACAATCCTGGTTGAATTGCTCTCATCCGTCCATAAATTGGCCCTGAATCTTATACAATTTATAATAGGGATGATGATAGGGTATAAAAATTAAAAATCTAATGAGTCTGTCAGTTAGGTAATGAAAAAATATAAGACACGTATTTTTTTATTTTGTCGTATAATAAAATGATACTTAGATAAAATGAATCTAAGTTTAGGAATGGGGGCTAAAACGTCATTTCTACGTATAAAATGTACGTAGAAGTGTATCGTCGAAAGTTTGTAATAAATAAAAAATACGTGTCTAATGATTTAAAATAATCCACTCGACGGACAGTAAATAAAAAATAGTCATCTACCCTATTGAAGCGGTTGAAGAAATAAGACGCACATTCACTTCAAGAGCGACCGTAACAGAGATAAGTGCGAGCGTGTGCGAGCATCAGAGCTAATTTTGTAGGAAATTAGTTGTATTACCACCTTCCGAGAGGAATACGTTGAGTTACCAGTCACCATTGTATACTTGATTTGGTATCTGTTATTAATTTATAAAAAATCATATATCTTATACTATTATATAAAGCGGAAGAGTTTGTTTTTTTGTTTGAACGCGCTAATCTCCGTAACTACAAGTCTGATTTAAATAATTCTTTCTGTGTTGGATAGCGCGTTTATCGAGGACGGCTATAGACTATGAAACATCACGCTACGACCAATAGGAGCTGAGCAGAGCGTGAAACTGCGCGGAAGTAGCTAGTACATAGATATACGTGGTGGGTAGTAAGCTGCAAAATATATAAAGTACTAGCTTCAGCCAGTGGCTTTGTTTGCTTTATTATATATTCTGTAGGGAAAAAGTAGCATACGTGTTATTCCAGATTATAATCTATCCTTGTTCCAAATTTCATCCCGATCCCTTCAGTAGTTTTTGCATGAAGGAGCAATAAGCAAACAAAATTACACATTCTAAATATTAGTAGGATGAGACTTGAGATTTAAAATTGAGATCAAAATTTTACTCACATTTAGTCAGCAAATATACATTTAGTTTTTGAAATCTTGAATGATTAGAATTGTTCTTTAAGCATACATGTTGACTACAAATTGCACTGATTTATTGGTAGCGTTGCTTTTAGGTCGGTATCGTAATTTTTCAGTGCTTTCAGTAACATCTGAAATAAATCATCAGTGTCATTCAGTCAATTTTAGATGGAACATATATTACAAATAACATATATTACATTATAAATGCAATTTTTTCACTAGAAAGTTCCAAAATAATACAACATTACGCCTTTTATCTCCAAAGAGGTAGGCAGAGGTGCACATTATCGCACTCAATGCCACTGTTTAAGGTAACACCCACTATTCACTTTTTATGTTATGAGTTCCATGTAATAAGGGGTAAGCCTATTGTCATATATCGAGTATAATTTCAGGCTCCGTGGTACTAAGATTTTTTAAAAACCTAGTAATACTTCTCGCCTCACTTGGGCGGGAGATGTCATTGAATGATTTCCCCCTCAAAAAAAAGTAATACTTTGCTCGACATGGGAATCGAACCCGAGACCTTTTTCCTAGTCGCACTTGCGACCAATCGGCCAACGAGGCAGGTAGAAAATTTTGTTTAGAAAAATGTCACTTTTAGACTGCCGGGCAAGGGGTCTCGGGTTCGAATCCCGGGTCGGGAAAAGTATTACTTTAAAAAATTCGTGTCTGGCAATAGGCTCACCCCCTATTACATGGGACTCATAACATAAATAGTGAAAAGTGGGTGTTACATTGTACAGTGGCATAATGTGCACCTCTGCCTATCCCTTCGGGGATAAAAGGCGTGATAAATATTGTTAGATGTAGAGTATACTCACATTGCATAGTTATGTATTTCATGCCGAATTGTTATATGAAATGCTGCAATGTGGCTATTGTTCATGTCGTATTTTTCTGACTGTCGGTAGGGGTGCTTTTGAGCATTTGCTGCCTGGCCTCTTATCTATATAATGCTGGCTCCTAAAGTAATAATATTGTCAGAAATATGTTATAAAACTTAAATAAAGGCATTATAAAACACAAAGTAGGTGCTTGAAATATTATTATGTACATCATGACAATTCTATCAATAGTATCATTACGCATTAGAAAAAATAAAATAAAAACAGATATTTCGAAAAAAAAAAACAAAAAAAATGTGGGTATACTAAAATAGGATGCTTAATTTTATCGATGGAAAAAGGATTCAGAGGCCTTAATCGAAACGAGACTACATTCAGCGGTCTGATTGGTTGATTCATTGGAGCCGGCCAATCAGAGGCCTTAGTACGAGTTTGTTTTACGTTAAAAGTAATCAAAACGAGTACGCGTTCGTCACTGTGATTGGTTGGTTCATTGGCGCCGGCCAATCAGAGTGCCGAATACGAACTCGTTTCGAATACTTTAATCGTAAATTATTTATAATTGTTTAAAAAAGATAAAATAATTTTAAATATTATATTGGTGTTGTAGTAGTTATTATTTATAGGGTAACATGAAATATGCTTTTTTCCAAACATTACTTGTCTTCAATTGAGGGTAAAAAATTTTCACAAAATTTTTAATATTTAAATAGTATAATACACTAATTAAATACATTTCGCCATCGAAAAAATTGAAGAGATTTCCTTATTTCTAAATGTGCACATTAAAAGACGATTGTAATCAAGATAAAAAAATATTTTCATATTTTTTACAGGTAGGTATACCTGCGGATAAGGTATACCTTTAACTGTCAAACACCAAGCGGTCACCGGTGACCGCAACCTATTGTTCTATAATTGTGTCTACAAAACCGGTACTCGACGAGTTAAAATATTTTTTAATATCCATTGAATTCTTTTATACTGTTAATTTTTTTTGAATTTGATGATACTATTTCCCATAATTATAATCACTTTAATCACTTTATATCGAATTACCCACACCATAGAATATATCTAGGCTATGTAAAAAAAATCAACAATCTAGCCATCGATTTTTTCGAAGTTATTACTAGAGAATTATGAGAAAAAACAAAATTATTATGGCGGTACAATATAGTGAGATGTTAATCTAGAAGTAATTAAATTATATAAAAAAAATAACTTACCGATATTACACGAAGCGGGGCTGACTAGAGGCAACAGTGGTGACGAATACATTATTATGGGGTTGTTATTAAGACTCTTTGTAATGACAATAAATCATAATGACAACTCGGACAATTATGTGTTCTACTTATTTTTTTTTCAATGCAAAAGTGCCTCTTATCTACATACGTTTCACTAATCGTGTAGTCTATTGAGAAACTGGTGCGACGACCTCTTTGTGATCTTGTTTTTATACGTTTCGATAGCTCTCAATTTACCTCCAACTTCTTATATTTTCCTTAAAAGTAAAATGTACAGACGCTTGAGAGAAACTTTCAAAATTTCTTATTGATTTTGAAATTTATAGGCGTAGTTTTAAGGTTCAAAATGTTATGTAGGAATTTAAAAGATTGTGCCAGTTTGCGTCTGTACCGTTGCACTTTAAGAGCAGACATTGCGGTTGAATATGCAAAATAATTATTATGATTAAATCGTCAATCACAAATAAATTGGTTTCGTTAATAATCCTATAGTAGCTAATAGAATTAACTGGTACCTATTTGAAAGAAAAAGCACAATCCGAATCAGTGATCGATCGATCTCAATTGAAACTTGAATTTTTGTAATTTTCTAGGTAATTTACGTAAAATACATTTGATGAAAAAATCATACAGAATTCTTAGAACAATATTGTGTTTATATCACCAAAAAAAGAAACAAAAGCACAAAAATCTTTTTTTTTTTTTTGCTAAACTGAGATTTTGAATTCGCATCGAACTTAAAAAGTTTGGTATCTTTATCAAACGTAATAGGAACTCTTTTTTTGATTAAACGCAAACATTTTTAAAAGAAGAACGAGTTTGAATTTCGAATGACGTTTGATGACGTCCCGCCACGAAAAGGCGGGAATTGAGAGGATTTTTACACAGGTTGCGTCATTCTAAAGACGAACGAAATACAAAGCGACATTGTAGGTATTGTGTAAAATTTTTGTATAAAGATATTTATGATAAAAACCTTTAATTTTATTACCTAATGTATAGCAAATAGTTTTTGTGCATGTCCCAGAGGAACTGGCCTGTTCCTGTTGACTAAGCTTACAAAATGTGTGAGGTAAATAGTAGTAACAATATTCAATATTGTGAATGTAAAGTGAGGATAACTTAATGTGAGTATTCTAATGAAAGTGAAATGATAGTTATTTGAGTTCATTGTGAACAAACCATCACGCCTTTTACCCCGAAGAGGTAGGCAGAGGAGCACATTACGGCACTCAGTGCCACTATACAATGTCCTCCTTGTAATAGGGGGTAAGCCTTGGTACAATTCCAGACTCCGTGCTACTACTAATTTTTTTTTAATTAGTAGGTATTACAATGAAGGTGGAATGCCATTTACTTGAGTGCATTGTGATATTCGAAAATTGCGTCAACCGAATTTGAATCTAATGTGGCAGCTGGATGTTCAACCGACTGACGATTAACCTCCAATTTGTTTTCAGTGATTTGTCTCAGAGTAGTCAAATGGGATATTAGTGACTTATGAAGTCGCGAAAAACCTAATGGGTTACCGGGGCTCCGTCTCGACGTGCAGGAGAAGGAACGGGGTGGTTTTGAGTCAGTAAGAGTCTGACACTCCCTCCCGCCTCACCCAGGCGGGAGCAGTCATTCGATGATTTTCACCCCTTAACACGTTATACGCTATGGGGTCATCGATGACCGGCGTTAGCGGAGCATTTACTTTCAACAGTTTTTTATTGGCAGTCAGTCATAAAAAAAATAAAAATAAAAAAAAGTGACATTTAAAAGTATCTATTCCTTTCGAGTCTATTCGCAAAATTAACGTTGTTGTTTCATTGTTTAGCTGTTAAAAGTGAAATTGTTCTTTTTTTAAATACATCCAGTCATACTTTTTTAAATGTTATCGAAACAAAAGTTTAACAAAGAAATGTTTCGTTTGAGATATATAAAATTAATTATTTCATATTGCAGGTAATTGTATAAAATGTTTTGCCGATTTATTTTAAAGGTTATTGCACACTGTATTGGTATAGTTGCAGCGAAATGCTTGCTGTTTTGAATTTTGCCTATTCATTCAAATTCAAATTATTTAATTGCACAAATATGGGTACATAATCTTGTTTATCGTTTATATAGTCATCCTTACTAATATTATAAATCAGAAAGTAAGTTTGTTTGTTTGTTCCACTTTCACGCCGAAACTACTAAACCGATTGCTTTGAAATTTGCAGACGTAAAGTTATAAGTCTGGATTAAATAATAGGGTACTTTTTATCTCGGAAAAATTAGATATTCTAAAGTGAAAACGAAATTATTGGTATAGATGGCGCTGTGTCTATTGGTATTCCGGCTTTCGCCATGCAGAGTTCTGAAAAATAAAATGTAAGTCAAGAAAAAGTTTAATTTTAAGGTCAAATACAGCAGGATTACCTACGTCATAAGAAATAAATCAGAAAAAATAGCATGTTTCTAAATTAAAGTGGAAAATTATTGTCAATAGGAATGATGACGGAGTATGAAAATTAAAAATCTGTTTTGTCCGTGAATGAAAAAATATTAGAAACGTATTTTTTTATTTTGTTTTAAATTAAAATAATACTTAGATAAAACGAATCAAAGTTTAGGATTGGGGGCTAAAACGTCATTTATACGTATAAAATGTACATAGAAGTGACGCCACGTGACATTTCATATCAATATATTCTCAAACGTATTGGTTTCTGTAAGAAAATAAAAAATACGTGCGTAAATACCTAATGATTTAAACTGTCAAACACCAAGCGGTCACCGGTGACCGCAACCTATTGTTCTATAATTGTGTCTACAAAACCGGTACTCGACGAGTTAAAATAATCTACCAGACGGACATTAAAATAAAAATTAGGCATCTACTCTATTTAAATAATACCAATATGTCAAGCACTAAGCTGTGGTATGGAAGTTCTTACAGATTATGTTTGATTTTTGTTATTTTGTTGAATGACTACTGAATGTAGCTGTTAGCAATTGAATGTAATAGCAATTCTATTTTATTATGTACATTTAATGGCATTTTTCCTCTACTGCATACACTTCCCACCCATGAACACTTAAATAACAAGGTAGTAAAATAAAGCGGTCGAATACAAGAATAAACATTAAGCGTGACATTTATCTTGAGTAGTGCAGTTACACTGCAGTGTATCATGACCTTTAAGAAGTAAATTATTCTGGAATTTTCCGCTGACCAATCACATAGCTCCTTTCCCAAAGACCCCCCCTCACATAGAATATAAAGAGCGTCCTAGACCATTCAAGTACAAATACTTGGTTGACGACACTCGTCTTGTTTGTAAGCCGATTTTTCAAAGCAGTACAGCACTTATTTAATTTTTCTTGCCTCGTCATTATAATTATTAGTATAAATAGTACTTATAATTAATCGCTGTAGCATAGCATATATCAACGTCTTTCACCGAGCGTAGCCAGTGGAATTGAAAGATATTTTTTCGAGAATGGTCTTCCCAGGAGCTCAAGTCCAAGAGTATTACAGGCATTGGATTGTAAAGCTACCGACGATGCTGCGGAGAAGATTCGCGCTAAGATATACCGTGTCAAGCAGTTTATGGACTTTCGATTTCTTTCGAGAACAGTCCACTTGAGAAATGCGTTCCAGAACAATTGATGGTTTGTTGAGCTGTTAATAATGGACCAGATAAGCAAGAATAGACGCCGAACAAGACTTGGGTCTACTACCATTGTACCATACTGCAAGGATAGCCTTAGGACTTCGAGCTACCTACATTGTGGACAAGACTTGAAGGACATCAGCTTCTAGGAGAAGCTTTCTACTAAAAGTAAGCTAATTCTTATCTTGTTTTTTTCCGCTTATTTTATAAATAACATGACATCACGCCTTTTATCCCCGAAGGGTTAGGCAGAGGTGCACATTTATGCCACTGCACAATGTAACACCCACTTTTCAATATTTATGTTATGAGTCCCATGTAATAGGGGGTGAGCCTATTGCCATATGCCAGATTTTATATTTACACAGCGTAAATTAATAGTTTTTTTTCTACCAAGGGTAGTCGTATAAAATTTTGTATCTTATTTGTTATGTTATGAGGTCCAAATCGGAGTGAACTTATTACTATATACAGACCCTAAAACCCTGTGCTTGTGAGAATTTTCGAAAATGGAAATCACACTATAATATCATAAATGTAAAAGTTTCTTTGTTTAAATGCTTGTCCGTCAATCACGATAAAATTATGGAACGAATTTAAATGAAATTTGATATAGAGGTACAGGCTGAGTATGGGCTGACTTAGGTGATAGAATATTTGATCGCGATTAAATGCTCCCATGGGATGAGGAATACGCGGGAAAAGCCACGTGTAAAAGCTAGTACACAATAATTCTTTGGAAGACTTTATGGGCATTTGACTAACGACGCTGTTTATTTTGCAGGGATTTATTCCTTAGAGTGAGATATAGATATGAGATAGCCTTTCGCGTCTGCCATTACTGAAGATCAGATGACAGACATACTTTTTCAAGTCCGCAGTCGAAAGTGAAAAAGTTGTGTACCGCGGGTAAGACATTTTTTTATGGTATAGCAAATGTTTTGGTGGCTCTTGAAAATGAAAGAAAGAAATAGACTTTCGTTTTGAAAAGACACATATAGTTATTACTTTTGCGTTATTCTGCCCATCATATTTTACTTTCTACCCTCGACTGTTGATGAAATATGTACCTGGCATAGAATCGAGGTACGCGTTTTTAATGTTATAGAGGTATACATATCTTTTGCCAGTTATGTACTTACTATGAACAGAATTTAAAATAGAGGTAATGATTATATTAGTGCTATGGTATGGAAGACAATCCTATTATCGAGCACTTGGCGTAATGTCTGTAGATTTTTTTTTCGTAAATGAAAAGTACCCACATTATCGTACATTCATTGAAAGCACTACTTAGTAAGTTCATTGGTTTTTGGGTTTATCAGGGATTCGATGTATTTCAGACTGAGTTGGAGAACGGAGAGGAGTGAAAAAGATGCAGGTTCGAGTTCACATTGTCGTGTGGTCATCATCTGTTATGCCACAAGATTAACAGATTCATGTGTTCCTTCGTTCGACTACCCACGTAAGGCTTTAATTTTATTCTTTTCGACGAAAACCATGATCTGGTTCATACGTGACCATTTTTTCTTTTGTAGTAGAAAAAAAATTGACGACATTTTTTAAAAAAATTGTTGGTGTTGGATTTTGATTAGAATTATTTATTTCAGATTGAGTTGGCGAACTTGAACGGGGCTTGTGAAAATTATGGAGGTTCGAGTCCACATTTCGGTTGCAGCAAATATTATCTATTCTACCAAGTGACTTAGTAGATTACTTGGATTGGACTACCCACCTAAGACTATAGTCCTCAACAAAAACCAGGTTGAAATCTAAATAAGGTCTTAACTACAGTACAACATCGTTATTAAAGTGTATTTTTCTTATTATAACAACTATCGTGAGACATACTAAGTTACGAACCACTGAGGGGTTCTTCCTCATGAGCAGTGTCCGCGGTCGCGGCGATGTCGCGCAGCTCACTGTATTTTTCTTGTCGGTTGGTCAAACTCAAAGTCATAATCATTTATTTCAAATAGACCAGAAAGGCACTTTTGAACGTCAACGATAAAATTAAAAGTGAAGCTATTTGCTCATTCCAAGGTGTCATTCCTATGGAGAAGAACGAGCAAGAAACTCCATAGGTTGGTTTGGGTAATTCAGCTTAGACAAGATACGAAACCGAACTCATTTGGACAAATATGTTCTATATGTTGTTGGATATCGTAACAAAAGATTCGTAGTGATATTTATGGTTCATTCATATGAGATTAGTATTGTTCATTGAACTTACATGTTGACTGCCTATTTGTGCAGATAAAATAATTCTGGCACAAAACCTTTTTCCCTAGGATGTGTACACAAATAGAATTGTGTTAGTTACAGATTAGTATTGTTCTAGAGAAATAATTGTTTAGGATCCAGCTTACATTATATCGTTTCTGTTTTTTAGTCGTCTTGTACAGGAAAAATAATCAAGTAACATACAATTGTTCTTTCGCAGCGTGAAGCGTTCTTAATTGTTTTTATTCTTGATCGATTAATAATGTACGCGGAATCTTTTGAGTCCAACGTTTTATTATTAGATTATTGTTAAACGATATTAACCATTAGGTAAGGCATTATCAGATTAATTTTGTTTACGTAGTGGGCTTTATTGTCATTGTATTACATAACTAGTTAGCGCGGAATATGATATTTTGATACGTATCTATGTAAGGTCGGTTACTTTCTCGTTGTCAGTTTTTTAATTTAATACGTACTCATATTACTTATATTTTGTATTGGATTGTATACATCTAATGTAAAACCAACCAACCATGTTAGTAATGTCCTTGATCGGTTCTCTTCTTCTTGTTATTGTGTGTATTTATTGAATACCGCAGTGCGAGTTTGAAACCTGTTAAGTCCTCCACGGTTCATTTAATGAATGCAAGAACCATTATTTTTGGGTACCTTAAATATGAAGTCATTTAAAGTTTTTACATCACATAACGTAAACGTGTGGGTTATTCATAGACAGATTCGTGTTGTTTTCATAAAAAATGACAATCGAGTTAGTTAGGCGTAAATAAGTCGATATTATTCAGGAACAACTTTTGTATTAGATTGTTGGTACGGCCTGGAGCTGATAATTTCTTCATAGGTATATATATCCAATTGGATATTTACAGATTAGTATTGTTAGCCTGGAAGAACATTGCGTGCTCTATTGTGAACACAATTGTTTGTTCGTTGACTTGATAGCTGTTTATTACGATAAGCGTATTTTCTATTACTGTGAAATATTTTGCTAGACAAAGCAGTTTTCGTTTCATATTATGTTATAGATAATATAATTTTAGAGTAAATTGGTTTAGCCTGATTAATTTGTTTATGTAACAGTGTCGGCAGCAATAAGTCACTAATACTGAAGTATTTTAATATGTTTATTAGCTGGTGATTTTTTCCCCGACAGGTGTATTGTTCGCAATGACAAATCTTTTTAGTTAATGCAATTTACTTGGATATTGACAGATTAATATTGTTTGCTCAGAAGATAATTTCGTGCTCTATTGTGTGTAGAATATACGTACATACGTTTACATTTACATTTTCTTTTTCGATGAAATATTTTATATTCTCATATTATTTTACTAGAGACGGAGTTGTGTCCTTTGAACAGATATGTTCTGTTTGTTGGGTATCGTACAAGATTACAAATCTTTTATAATTTTTGGTTGTTTAAGCTATTGTTCATTCATATTTGTAGGTCGAAACAGATAGATTGGTATTGTCCTTTAAGCGTACATGCTGTCTGAACAGCTTGTAGTTGTTTATTTATAAAGAAGTTTTGGGTTACAGACTAGCTCGATGGCCGAGTGTTCGTAAGTGCGACTGCCGGGCAAGGGGTCTAGTGCTCGACCGACTCGGTTTTAAAAGGAGGGAGTTTGGAAATGTGCCCGGTATATGGCAATAGGCTCACCCCCTATTACATGGGACTCATAACATAAATACTGAAAAGTGGGTGTTACATTGTACTTACAGTGGCATTATGTGCCGCAAAGTGCACCTCTACCTACCCCTTCGGGGATAAAAAGGAGTTATGTTAAGTAAGTTTTGGTTTAGTGTGGTATTCATTTTTTCTATTTTTTGGTTGTAGCCACAGATAGAGTAGTATTGTTTATAGTGCCCTCAGTATACGAGTCTTGTTAATTTTTTTACAAAGTATGTCACAACAATAGAAAGCTCAATAATTGATTTCTGTTTGTATACTGTAGTCTTGACTTAGTTAAGGACAAATCAGTATTGTTCACTTGAAATGTCGTTCAGAGATTAGTATTGTTCATGTGGTATTTTTCTGATTGTCCACCTGGCCTTTGGTTTAAGATCACTTATCTTATTACTTTCTTGTTGGTTGGTTCAATCATCTCTCCGTACAAACATTGATGTTTTAGTACAGACAGGTTAGTATTGTTCTGTTTGATTTGCAATTCGCGGTTCTAAGCTTGTGATGTAGCCATGGCTTATCTGTGGCTTGCATGGGCTATATATCATGGCTTATATGTCCATTGAGCCATGTCATCAATTCTCATGTTATGTAACCATTCTATATAAATGAGAGTAGTAATGCTTTCTTTGCGTGGAAGCATACACAAAAAGTATCGTTATAATTTCACAGAAGGCAGTAGTATTGAGTTCCGACTTATACTTAATACTTATATATTATAACACATTTATTACTTCATTTAAACCTGAATTTTATTTCCATATGCATGTTAAATTAGTGCTTTATAACAGATAGATTAGAATCGTTCTTTATGAATAATATTGTTTTCTGAATAAAATATGAACGTGCTATATTCTATTTGTCGTTATGTGCACATTTATCGTAGTAATGGGTATTTATTTGTCTAAAACCGATTAGTTTCATGTATGATTATTATTTGTTTGTTTATTTCATTGGCTTATAATGGTGAACATAATGATGAAGTATATTCACCATATGATTTAGCCACAAACAGATTAATATGGTTTACATAAGTATGAGTCAATTTTGTGTTTCTATATTCCATAACTTCAAAAATTGCAACTTTGTTATATGTGGGTACGTTTGAGTTCTGTTTTTTTTTTGTCCGAACAAAATTTTGTTGGCATTAGTATTGCTCGTTGTTGATTATTAAATAAGTATCTTCAAATTACATTAAGTGTCTGTGGAGTGAAAAATTTAGTTTCTTGCCCCTCTCGTTTTGGCAACATTTTGCAGGAAAATGTTTAGGTGGGAATTGTATTGTTCATTTTGGTTTCATGTTTACTAACCCGCTACTTATAATAAAGTAAAGAATCTTTTGAACAACCGTAGTTTGGTTCCAAACGTACGTATATCAAGCAGGTCAATTTTGTTTATTCATTGTATTGATTCTGCACAATGTCCTAACATTGCCTGATTTACGTCCTGTACATTGTTGATAACATAGTACTAGTGAACAGGCTCTGACTGTGGGTGATAATATTTGTTTTTTTATTTTAACAGTTCTCAGAAATCTTTGATTTCTTCGGTTGCGTAAGAATATTAACTGTAATGTTAATGTCAAATCGGTCAATATTTTCGGGTGTGTTGGAATATTTTCTATTTTCAGCGTCCGTAGTACGTACTTGCCCATACATAGCGTGTTATGTTACATGTACTACAATAGTAAGCTATATTTGGGTCAGGCTTATAATAAAGTGGTCCGTCTGCTCGTTTGCCTCTTATTGCATAAAACAATAGTAGATTTACCACAGAAAGTTTATCGTCAAGATTACAGATTGGTATTGTTAAAACAAAACAAAACTTAACCGGAAGTTGGCGCATGTAGAGTGAGAAACTTAGCTCTACATGAGATACAAACTTCTCTTGTTTTAGTAACATTTTAATAGTTTAGTAGTCTATAAAACTACCCACACCACACCACAGACAGATTAGTATTGTTTTACCCATAGCGTTTTGTTGCTTAGTTTAATTTCACAGTACTGATACTAGTGTACCTACCCACATTCGTTCGGTACAGGAAAAATACCAATGAAACTTAATTATTTTATTGGCATTTAATGGTGAACATAATGATGAAGTATATTCACCATATGAATTATCCACAAACAGATTAATATACTTATATAAGTATGAGTCAATTTTGTAATTTCATATCCGATAACTTCAAACACTATAATTTTGTTATGTGTTGGGTACAATTGAATTCTGATTCGTTTTGTCCGAACAAAATTTTGTTGTCATTTTTGTATTGCTCGTTGTTGATTATTAAATCAGTAAAATTACTTTAAGAGTCTGTGGAGTGAAAAATTTAGTTTCTCGCTCCTCTCGTTTTGGCAAAATTTTACAGGAAAATGTTTAGGTGGGAATTGTATTGTTCATTTTGGTTTCATGTTTACTAACCCGTTAGTTATAATTAAACTAAAGAACGTTTTGAACAAACGTAGTTTGGTTCCAAACGTACGTATATCAAGCCGGTCAATTTTATTTATTCTTTGTACTGATTCTGGACAATGTCCTAACATTGCCTGATTTACGTCCTGGACATTGTTGATAACATAGTACTAGTGAACAGTCTCTGACTGTGTGTGATAATATTTCTTTTTTTCGTTTCAATTTCTCTAACAAATCTTTGACTTGTTGGTGACTTTAGGGCCACGCTAGTGTTGTTTAGGACACGGATTGAGGTCTCGTCTTGATACTGGTGTAAAGTAAAAAAAAACTATTGAGTACAACAGTATTTTTTGCTTTTATTTCTTACTCCGCTCGTTTTGTCTACATTTTACAAGAAATTGTTTAAGTGGGAATTGTATTGTTCATTTTGGTTTCATGGTTACTAACCCGCTACTTGTAATAAAGTAAAAAACCTTTTGAACACACGTAGTTTGGTTCCAAACGTATGTATATCAAGCCGGTCAATTTTGTTTATTTATTTTATTGATTCTGCACAATGTCCTAACATTGCCTGATTTATGTCTTTGACATTTGACATTGTTGATAACACTGTACTAGTGAACAGTCTCTGACTGTGTGTGATAATATTTCTTTCATATTTCTACTTCTCTAAAAAATCTTTGATTTGTTTGATTGCGAAGGAATATTAACTATAATGTTAATGTCAAATCGGTCAATATTTTCGGGTACGTTAGAATATCTTCGGAGTCCGTAGTACCTACATGTATATACATCGCGTGTTTTGTTACATATACTGCAATAGTAAGCTATATTTGAGTCAGGCTTATAATCAAGTGGTCCGTCTGCTCGTTTGCCTCTTATTGCATAAAACAATAGTAGATTTACCACAGAAAGTTTATCGTCAAGATTACAGATTAGTATTGTTAAAACAAAACAAAACTTAACCGGAAGTTGGCGCATGTAGAGTGAGAAACTTAGCCCTACATGAGATACAAACTTCTATTGTTTTAGTAACATTTTAAATGAAAGGGTTTTGTGGAATTAGTATTGTTCAATACTTTAGTTATGACTCATGTTGTGGTAACTGTAGTCTATAAAACTATGACTAAGGTTAATTCATCGCTATAGATATGTATGTGTCTTATAATTATGGTTATCATTTCTTGCATTTATTGAAACTTGAGCAGGTACCTGTGAAAGTAAAGTGTCCGGAGGTTGAGGCTGGTTCACACAATTGCGTTCTCGGTTTTATTAGTGATTCATACCTTTCTGCATTGTACTTCACTATGTCACTAGCTCCGAGGCCTCAAGCAGTATTTGTCAAATATATCCCTTAACATACTTTCCTTTGTCGTTTAATCCTTGAGACGGCTCCGTATTTCTGAATTATATCTTAATATACAGTGATTAAGCTCACCGGTGTAAGATTAAAGATCTTTCTTTAAATTAATTTTATCTTTTTTTTAAATTAAGGTTGACTTTTCTTAAGTTTTGTTTTTTAAGTGATTTCTGAGTTTTTTTGTATTAAATTGTTCATTTTGATGTAATTCTTTAATTTTTATATGACGTTAAGGGGCATAGTGTACAGTGTCATCGCCAGTCAGGTCATATGTAAAGCCATGTGTCATGTATAAATAACATAATTGTAAGGACAATGACACAAATATAATGTTATCAACTTAACATTACATTGGCATGGCCTTTGTAGTTATTGTTATTCTTACGTTTATTTGTTTTTAGTTATCATAATTAAAATTAAAAATGTATATAAAACCGGTCAATATTGTTCTTTGGTTTCCTTTTTGAGGATTTTGAGGATGTTTTCATTTTGTGTGAAACTAAACCAACACTATTGAATTTATTGCTAT